GCAAAAACAAATCATGTATATTCTGAAAAGGACCAAAAAAAAAAAAAAGGTGGTGATAGAACTTAAAAAGAGCTAAATGAGATTTTTTGCAGTGTTACAATGCCCAAGGACAGTTTCAATTCGATGCCTTAGCAATTTACATGCAATTTTATTCTGGTGGTGTCTCTAAGGTTCAGCAAAAAACAAGCACCAGAACAATACACCATCTCTGAGCCACAGGAAACATTTTCAGGCCCCAGTGCATATAGCTTCAAAACTCTCCACTTCTAATAGTATCGTATAAGTAAAAAAGTATATATAATTGCATTATATATACTATATATATAAATTGCATTATATATAAATGTAGAGATATTATTTACATATATATGTAAAATATATAATTATTATACTTTTATATAAATATGTATTATATATAAATATACTTTTATATAAGTATAAAGAGAAAGCCCTTTTCAGTTTTGCATGCTGATTAAGTCCTATGGGACATTGTGGGGCATTTGGGGCTGGTATTTACCTTTCTGAAGGGTATGTGGGCTCAGAGAGTATGTGCATTGCAAAGATGAGCAATGAAACCAAAGGGTAGTATTTCACTGGCCACTGCTGATGCACAATTTTTACTAACACAGGCAGCTGAGGTGGTTTGAGAGTGACACTTCTGCTCTGTGGAATAGTCAAGAGTAGCACTTTACAGTTTCATCAGGTAACCCCCTTCATCATCTAACAGCTCTTGGTATATGTTAGTCAGCTCTTCATCTCTGGGACCAAAACCACCTGTCCAGAACAACTTAGAGACTAAGATAAAGTTTATTTTGAGCTCACAGTTTCCGAGATTTCATCCATGGTCTGCCAACATTTTTGCTCTGGGTCCAAGGTGAGCCAGAACATCATGATGGAAGAGCATGACCAGGGGAAACTGCTCTGCTCAGGAAGGAGAGAGAGCAGGGTAGGGAGAGAGATAGTGAGAGAAAGAGAGAGAGGCAAGAGGATCTCGAATTCAAAGCCTCACAATTCAGCAAGACCCTAAGCAACTTAGTGAGACCCTGTTTCTAAATAAAATATAAAAAAGAGAGCTGGGGAATGTGGCTCAGTGCTTAAGTGACCCTGGTTCAATT